GAGTGAAAAGATTGTGGACAACAAACAAGAAGCAGATTGGCGGTGGTCGGCGAGATTGTGCAGGTTCGCCTTTCTGAACAATATCTCGCTGTTGCGTTTGATCCCATGTATAATTTTGCAACATCGGTTATGCAAAACATTCGATTTACTTTGAGGCGGTCTATTTCGTTATGGTACTTTCCACTAGGGACTTCCACGTTCAGCTTTGAGAGTGGAAATTCGGGAATTGCGAGTTACCATGAATGGTCTTGGCCATCATGATAAATTCAGGTAGCCACTCACCCTATTTGTTCCACTCTAATCCGTGTGTCCAGATATAATGTTCTTCGGACGTTTTTATGACCTACATCTTTTGAATCATAGATGGCCGATTCGGGCTGTTAGTTGCTCGAATGTATGGATGTTCACGGTCAAACTCGTGTTATCGGGAATGCCAACGTCACCAACTCCTTTATTGTTTCATGTTATGGAAAACAGTTCTCTGGTATTATAGACAGCCTTGAATGGATAGTATCTTCTCGTCTCAGCTGCTCCAAAGACGTCGTACCTTATCCTTCTTGCTTGAATGGTCAAGTCTTCTATCGAGGACGCAGATGCAAGTGTGTCTGCATTGTAGGTCGTCTTCGTCACCTTAGTCCTTCGTGATTTATGCAGCCTAGAATAGCCCTGAGATTTTTGCAGCTTCTCCGTAGTCGTCGTACCCAACGCTGCTGTGTCGGGGCCCCTTTCACGTTCAGAGGAATGATTACTGACTTTAGAGTTAATACCCACCTATAGCTTGCTGAGCTTTGAAGGTGGGGGCTATGTATATTTGCGGGTAGCTTGCCACTCTCTCCCAGAGTGAACGTGGAGCTTATTTGTATGAGGCAATTCCTAATCACCTCCCATATACTTCCCTGTTACTTGATTGCAGACTTTTGGCCAAATAGACCCAAAGAATACAATCTTCATAAACGAGAACGCACAAACGCACGCATACATGAATGTGTCCTCTTGAACGCAGAAGCGACGTGTCAAATTGGCACTACTGAAACAGGGAGTCCGTTCCTTGGATCCACCTGCGTCTCATGGAAGCATAAGATCGCTTTTGGTCCGCGATTAACTCTCTGTCCGCCACTAGGAGAAGCGCCACGGTGCTCTGACTAACCGGCATAAGATTCCTGGATGGTGAAAATCCGTGGAGGGCTTCGTTGTTTTAGAAAATTGTAGCCAACGGATTTATTACTAATTAAATTTTCGGGGTGTCACTTTATTTGACATGTTGCCTTATGTGCTCATTCTTTGATGCAGATCCTATTCACTAAAACTCTCTAGTGTATGGTGCTAATCACTGTTAGACAGTAACCTCATCGTTCGTTTTATTCTTCGTTTCTGGTAAGAAGAAAGCAAGGATGATTGCCAGAAATAGAGTTGGTCCGGACGAAAGTACCAGGACACTGTAATATTATTATGTTTTCGGTTTCCTTTAAACGAATTTGTGGAATACACCTGTAACTGCCGATAACGAGTTCCAGCTGCAGGTAGGAAAATGTGACAAGCATAGTTGAAATGAGAAGTACGCCCGTAGACAAGGACTGCAGTAACGATACGTGAGAAAAGTCAACCTAAATCAAAGATAAATATACCGTGGGTTCTTATATATCATTGGCTTTCTTTCATTCTCTCATAGCTTTTATGCCATATTCAGCTTCATTTAATACGAACCCTGAAACAAGCTAACGATTTTCCTAGTGAACATTTCGACCCTCGATTTTCCCATGATGAACATAAAGAGAGAATGTATACACATTCTTTGCAAGGTATCTATCATCTTTTCATTGATAGATCGTTCTACTATAATAGCCATCTGAGACGAAAGATTTGAAAAATTATTCAAAGTTAACAATCCTGTTAAACAGTAGTGAAATTTGTTGGCAGATTTTCAAATGAAAACGCAATTCATGATTAACATTTCTATCCTCTGACGTGGATAGAGGGCGGATAGGACAGTGGTAGTGATATCCGTCATGAGCTTGGTGCTAGTTGGATTCCGCTCGAGGTTCGAGAACGGTCTAGCCCGGCTCTCTCAGGACTCCAGAACAGTTGCTCTACCAGCATTCTACGACATTCATGATGAAATGAAAATCCTCAGGCAGGAACCGAAGCCACACGTAAAAGTCGGATGATCTTCGTGGACAATGGTTGCGAGGAAATGAATCTAATGTGAGAAGTACTGGGATCCGCACAGTATGCATGAAGACAGGTCGCATAAAATAAAATAAATAAAGCAAATCCTCTGACGGGTACTTGATACCTTAGATTTCCACGCTATTTAACTGATCCACTCTTCGGTGATATCTTGGAATCCATCAAACTTTTGTATTCCGAGCTACTACCTAGTCACCTGTCTTCTCTTTGCTTAAAAGGATGATTGAATGTGGCAATAGCAAGTTGTTCAATTGCATATCCCGAGCCATAGTTGTTTAGAGGGTTCGCTCGAAAAGCACAAAATTTTTTTCATTCAGAATCTTCATGAAGAATATTGAGCGTCGGAAAAGTGATCCACTCCTTGTAAAGTGCAGGTGACAGAACAACGAAATCCTGCAATTCGATGAAATAGACATATCATCATCTGGTGTTTGATATTTCACTAAGGCAGGTTTTCAGTAGTTCTCGTGCGGTTATACTCCATCTAGTGTTATTTCACGATTGTTGACAGTGACTCGGAAAATGCTTGCATTAGCCAGACAGTAGGAAGATTGGATGAACTCTACCGTATAATGAGTAGAGGGTAAAACTAGTACGTGAACATTCGTTTGCGATAAGGTCTTCATATCCTCAATCCTCAGAAGGGTTTCCCATTTATTGAAGTCAGTACCGAGTATTAGACGATCCATTACCGTCAGATAATATGTCGAACTTTTGGCGTGAGAAACGTTGAAGCATCATATCAGTCTTGTCGAAATGATTGGTGCTTCGTTTGAAAACAACGAACTTAGTTTCGCTAAGGTGCAGGCCCTATTGTCAAGAGCAATTATTTTTCAACCGTATTTTTCAATAGATGATCTTGGTTGTTCCCAGTTTATTTTATCATTGTGTAGCTTCCCATGACGTTCGTTCGGTGTTAGCTCTTTAATCAGGACATGAAATTGCTTAAGTCTTCTTGTAATAATGAAGTATGCTGGAATTGAATTTCCTTTGCGGAGGATATGATGTTCCAATAAGTGAAGATGCTGGTTGGCAAATTAATATAAAATGAGTCCCTCTCATCTTTGATATAGCTTGATGTTTTGGTGCAGGCAGCGAGGTGGACGTTGGTTTGAATTTTCCACATAGTAGAACTACAACTGGTAACAAGCTGCGTGTAAAATGCAACGATGTTAACGTCGGCGTAAAAGTGCGGTTAGGCAAGGCGATACTGCTTCTCTAAGATTATTTACTACCAGACTCCAGAACGTCATGCGAGTATTATAATGGGACAACATTGGAGTGAAAGCCTGGGTCCGCAACTACATCATCTTCTCTTTGATGATAACGTCGTTATTATAACACCAAATATTTACCAGCGGAACGAATGCTAGCCGACATAAAGAACAATTATGGGAGCCTTGGTCTTCGACTGAATCTCACAAACACGATGATCTTGAGGAATCGATTGGTTTCCTATGCCTCATTCACACTGAATATCCCCGAATAACACACCTAGCTACGTCTCTCTAGGTCGCGAAATCAACGGATATTGAATGACTCAGCTTCAAAGTTAAGCAGGAATAAACGAGCAGCTTGTGGAGCTTTAAAAGGGATTGATGCTATAGTGAAGGTAACAAAGAACATCCGATTCCATGCCCACCTTTTCGACTCAACGATAGGTCCTGCCTTGACTTACGCATCAAAAACCTGGTCTATGCGTAAACAAGACGAAAGACCACTCAGCGTTATTGAACGTTCAGTTGAAGGGACGATGTTAGAGTATCCCATATCACACAAATAAAGGGATCGGAGGTTCCGACCTAGGTCAACGATCAAAAATCAAAGAACCCGTTCTACACGCTAACTATCGAAGATAAGGTGGGCTGGTCACGTAATGCGTATGAATGACAACCGATGGACAAAATCCGTTAGTGACTGGATATCTCGGGATGTTAAACGCACTGCAGGAAGACCGCCGACTCGATGATCAGAGTTCTTCATGAAAAGCCTAGAAGAAAGACATGACGCTCAGCGATCCCTAGAGCGAACAGAGCCCATTGCCATACCATTCCACGCTACAGACAGAAATTGAAGGTTTACTAGCGTCCGCTCGAGTTACTTGAAGATTGGCTGAGACGACAAGTGGTACAGGTGAAAAGTATGCTTCAGATCGTTGCTACTCCCAGAAATGAATGATCCTAGCCGAGCTTGTGTTGGTGAGTGTACCAGCTCTACTCGTATCACTACTGTCGCTTGTTTTGAGGGAAGCAGCAGCAATGTCTAACTTCTTATTTGCTGCCTACTGCTGCCACCCTCTTAAACACGAAATCGAACCGACTGTCAGGTGCATATTGCAGTGCATCGCTAAGCACCGGGCTACTCTTGCAACCAGCAGACGTCACTTGTATCACCTCTCGTCCTCTTAGTCGTCGAGCTACTCGAACGGATGCCAGTAAATCCTCCATTTTTCCCTGTCGCATGCAAGAGTAGATCAGTAGGTTCTGCTCGCTCTAGAGACTCTGAGCTTCATAGTTTTCTTCCAGTCTTTTCGTGAATCCATCAAGTTGGTAGTCTTCCTGTAGTACGTCTGACATCCCGAAGAATCCATTCACTAATGGCTCTTGTCCATCATTTGTGGTTAATGCGTATTACGTGTCCAGTGTATATAACGGCATCTTTAATTTTTGATAGTTGACGCAGGTCAGGGCTTCGGATGCCTTTTATTACTTGTGTGCCAGCAGACACGTGTGAACAAATCACAATTCAACAAGACTTGTTTAGCACGTTTAACAGCAGAGTTTTGTTCTTTTAGGGGCGAACTATTGTTTTCGCTAATCGTACTTTTTACCTACTAGTTCCGATGTGAGAAACCATGGTGGTGCTCCAGCTCCGAGCCCAATAAAGGCTTTCGTAAGAGTAAATCCTAGGCTAACTAGCAACTTTTGCTCGGGAAAAAATGCCGGCAAGCACATTGCCGCAGATGAACCAAACAAACCGAATAGCAGTAGATGTCGACGTCCAAATCGATCCACCTAGAGCAAGCAATGTTGATTAACTGTATACGAAATATTACAATGATTCATTCCTCACCAGGAAAATTCCAAAAATACTAGTAATTAGTAGAATCACTCCCAAATAAACAGAAATAACAACACTGGCTGATGAAGTAGCACTTTGTAACGGGTTGACATATTTGTCCGCCTTCTGCAAGACTCGTAGAAAGTTCTTGTTTTGTTCATACTTGCCACAAATCATAATGAACCGTCAACATTTTTGCAGAAAATGTGTCAATGAGATCGTCTGCAGTGAAGGCGTATGACGCTGATGCAGCTACACCCACAAGGAAGCCTTTTAGCGATTTCCTCAATGGCCTGAACAGCAGTGAGTCCTTAACATACAACAACCATCATCAAGTATTTTGTTTGTATTAGCTTGAAAAAATAATGTTGCACCTTTTCTCGAGTTTCTGCGTTAGAGATTTTCTCTTCGCCGAACATTCCTCTTGAATTTCATTGAGAGTGGATGTGCTTCCGTAATAGAAAAACATTGACTCAATTACTGTAAAAATCCTTTGTCTTTTAAAAAATTTAGAGTTGGTAGGACTTTTAGCACTGGAACTTACATTCTGTTGTTTTTGCGTGCTTCCTCATTAACTCAAGAGGAGTTTTTGGAGTGAGAGCTAGAATTCCTTCGAAAAGAATCGATGGAAATACGGCGAAAAATTGCAGGTAAGTAAACCTAGGTGGAGGAAACGCTTGGTCTTGAACTTTCCATAATAGTGAAACTAATATCTTAAGTGATGCTAGTTTGTTAACAAAAATTAGCGAACCGAGATGATCCAAGATGTAGGATTTCTTCGGAACCAATGAGTAGTCCAAGAAGTGTTCCCAATGCCTGCGAAACTTGCTGAAATAAATAGGTCGAAGTGATTTTCTTCAAATCAGAAAGTTAAAGGTGTCTCATACTTGAAACGTGCTAAGAAAAGGACGATGTTCCAAAGGACTGATTTCAATAATGTACAGAGGAAGAAGACACAGAGAGGCTCCTGCTTGAATACCGATCAGTAATCGGCCAATGCTCAGAATCGCTCCTACGACCATTTCACCTGAGATTTGTTTGTGGGTCGCAAGACTAACGAACGTTGTCCTTGATTGTTTGAGATTTGGCGGAAGGTTATTTTCAAATAATTCACGCAGTTTGGCCAATAGTGGATGATCCAACTGCAGTTTGTTCAATTTTTTTGAAAGGCTAAATGTTCGAATTACTTAAAACCTTAATAACTGTGTTATTTATCTAATTTTCATGAAAAAACACAGCGTCGTTGAATGGACGAATAATACTAGCCTTGATAGACTGCCAGTTCTGCAAGTAAATGAATCATGCATCCAATGATTGCAGAAGAACATGTCACTGCTTGTGTTCGTTTTACTCCAATCCTTGCTATCATTGACGGTGTCTGATAAGTGCAAGAGTTTGAACTAAGAGGTTTCAATGATCGTCATATTTTATGATGAGCCGTTTCGCTTACTACAAGAAACCCGACAATGGTTCCTGGATAGAAGCTGCTGACTATTACACTCCATAATGTTGACCACGCGCTCTCTGATATAGAGCAACTCGTGCAATCTAAGATATGAGAAGTGGTGGTTCACTGATCGACATTAGAAAGATATCAATAAGACTTGTTTACCTCTTGATGAACGATATGCTTCATTAAGGAAGTTGAAAAATGAGCTCAAAGAGGTATTAACATAGGTAACCTGGAAAAAAACAAATTACTATGGAACAATAAGCCGGGAAAGAAGCTTCGCGGCTCTCTGCGAAAGCGATTTCTTAGTTGAATTAACCTGTGGGTGAGTCTAGCGAAATAGTTAGAGGTTCTCTGCCTGTTATATCGTGGGCGGTGATTTCGTCTTCACGCAATGGATTAAGGAAGCACTCTATCGTTCAGGGTCGACAGTGACAGAGCTGTACGCTAGGATAAAGGTAATGGCTTAATACATAGGCCAATGAAATTTATTATGCTGAACAAATATGCATCCAAACGTATCTGTATCTGCCATCTTTATTGATGAAGTCTAATGCTTAACAAATTCTCAAGGAATAATCCTACTCCGCATGCTTCATCTGCTCTTAGCCCTTTTATTGAGACGCAACTTCAATTTACAGTATCAGCACAGCTATGTAGTTTGAAATGTTTAAGAGCACGGCTATCTTTGTCTGTGTCAGTCCAGATTAATGGAGTTACGATAGCAGAACGTCACAACTAAGATGCTCACGAACTTTTAAGAGTCCACTGAAGAGTGATGGAAGGAAATCTTGAGCAGAGATTAGTAGCAGTGCACCCCGAAGATAACGAGATTGAGAAGAGCATCGCAATGACTGCCTGCCTTTCGTGAGTTACAGAATCGATTTGATTATTCTTCGACATCTAGACGAAGTGGTCAAGGCATAAAGAATAGGTCACTAGATTACTTGTTGAGGAGATCATTCACGACCTCCATTCTAACCTCCTATACATCCCGTCTCCACGCGGATACGGGATAAAGGCCCAAACGTTTTTCTTTGGAAGCTGTCGAAGTACAGCTATGATAGCTCTCACGACCGACTTTCTATTAGCCTCGGCACTGATCAAGTAATTCTTCGAATTTTTGTTGAGCAAACGCGAGGTGTTATTATTCTTTATTCACGAATAAGCTGACGTTTCGGCGGATTTCGCCTTCCTCAGAGCCTGGAAAGGTCAAGTTGATAGCAATCTACTCGGCCAGACGCCTCCATAACCAAACAAAGAAACTCACGCGTGATATAGGGCAGTATATAAGACTGCTATTCTGATGGGAGGGGCACATTATGCTTCCATGTGATTTCTGTGCGGTTGGTCTCTACGTGACATACTTAGTGGAAACCTCATGGAAAGCGGTGAGTGTGCGAAGCTGTGTTCAATTTGATTGAAATCTTGGTTTAGAGTTTCTTTGTTTGGTTATGGAGGCGTCTGGCCGAGTAGATTGCTATTAACTTGACCTTTCCAGGCTCTGAGGAAGGCGAAATCCGCCGAAACGTCAGCTTATTCGTGAATAAAGAATGATAACACCTCGCGTTTGCTCAACAAAAAGACGAAGAAGAGCTATGATATCTCGTCGCCGTAGAACTGTACAAAACCAGGTACTCGAACTATCAGACTAGAAATCGGATAAAAGAGTAGCGATTTCCTCTATTAGCTCACTTATTCGGCGGTTCATTTTTCATCCTTTCCCGTATCATCTGTCAGTAGGCAACTTGATTGCGAAATCAAAAACCACCAGAATCATGTGCAACCTAGCATTCATTGGCATCAACAGCTATCGTCTAATCTGGATTCTTTTTTCTCGTTGTTTACAAGCTCTTCGCTCGAGTTATCTTCAACCTTTGACCAAAGAACAGACATGAGAGTGAATGGGGCTTCAAAAAGAGTCTAACACATCTGACAGACTCACACAGTAACAAAACTAATTGAAGTACCACCCGAGCAGAAGAGACACAATTGCCTCACTTCGTTCACTAAAAAAAAACATCTTTATAGTTTGGAGTTATCGATTTCTGTACAACCAATAAATACGTGCTCAGTTCACAATGACGTTTCAAAATAGGTTCACCACCCAAATCCGCCATACTATAGTGACATTCTTACGTTATTATTACAGCGGTCCAAAAGCCGACACTTTTTATAAAACTATTGGACCTAATTCACGTAAAAATGGTGTTTGCTTTGGAACAGGGCAGGATTAGGGTGAAGGATGGACAATCTTCACTTTGCTTCTGGTGTTTTTTTTATGACACCAAGCTTTAACTTCAGAAGATGAATGCCAGCCTATTTTGGCAAAATGTCCGGAAAATCGGTCGTCACTTGAACCCCAAGAAAATAATGCTCGTGAGAAAGTAGTCCCATCTGTTGCACATTTACGACTAACGAAACGATTATCCTTAAATAATCAAGCTACCTGGGCAAGGAAATTAACAATGAGTTGAACGGCTTGCCTCCAAAAGTTGAATAGAAAGAAACAAGCGGGTTCTGAAGCATACAACAGCATTGAGGACGAGGAGCAAAGGGGAGCAACTCACTTTTTGGTTTGCATTATTCTATTTGTTTTAACCATACAGTTCCATAGTCTGAATGTTACCTAAGCTAGAAAAGATGTCAGTCAACGTTATCCCGCACTTGTCATTATGACACTAAAATTATCAAAGAGAGGCATCACGCATCAAGAGATAGAGTCCGAAATTCCATAGTTTAGCGAAGAGGAAAATCAGGACTCTTCCACAAGCGTCAAAATTTCGATAATCAGGTGATCTCGACGCAAGATATGTCTAAACCATAGACAGGAGGGGCACGTGTCACAGGCGCCCTACAGTACGTATTAGATCGATCCCCTCGCCTCAGATTCATCAAGCCGTCCATCCATCCAGGGTCGCCAAATTGGTACCAGAGTTGTCTGGGAGAATAGCAGCATTGGTTCGATACATCGGGGTGGGGGGGGGGGGGGGGGGGGGGGGGGGGGGCACCGCGAGTTATTGTAAAGCCTAGATACGCATTCAGTCACCTCCAACTATGCTTAGTGAGGGCGAGTACATGGCGGGATTGATTCATGGGCTTCATCCTTTATCCTTTCACAGACGGCAGACAATTTTCGTATTGTGATAGAAGCCTAATATTGGCCCATCAAGAACAACATCTATGATTACCTCTAGTCCTGTTAACTCCTAACCAAAGTGAGCATGGCTTAAATTTATATTTGCTGCTGTTGCGTGCTGGAGTTGCACAGCAGGCTTTGTTCAATTGATGGTCACGTTTCCAGTAAATCCATTATCCTTGTTTTTTCTGAGAGGATAAACACAGGTAGTTAACCCAATTTTGCAGTGGACCCGGGTACACATAGTTTGCAGGATCTTTTCGGAGTAAACGTGAAGGTAATCTACTAGGAACGATTCCGAACTGTGTCTTATGTATTTTTATGTTAATTGCTTGAGGGTTTTTAATCGAATTGATGACGTTTAGGCTGCAATCTCTGCAGCTACAGGAGCATTAAGCAGAACAATAAAGAGAATAATTAACGAGAAACGATTAAGTTACAGCTTTTTTACAGTGCTTCAAGCAGAGCAAGTTATATGAGGTAAGCCAGTTTGTACATACATTAATAAAGAACGATCCTTGGATAGCAAAAAAATGGATAGTCACTGAGCTTTAGGGATCGTTCATTGTTTACGCATGCCTCTGCCGTTATTGACACTGCGAAGCATTGTCTTTGTCCAGCTATTTGATTCCTTGCGGTGCAATACAAACGTCGTCACGAGTTCGATCCCACTGCCAGCTAACCGAACCTCTCTTTTCTCCCATGTTAGAAAATAGGAAACATGTTTGTCTGCTAAAAGCTGCTCCTATTCCATAATGGCTGTGATGCGCTCCAATACAATTGTTTCAGAATTCAATGGGAGATCACTCGACTCACATTCATTGATATTCGTGTAAAAGGCAAAGTACTCAAGTGGTAGATGAACCCGTACCCTAGACCGAAGACTTTCGTGGATGACGGATGCATGACAATGAGCCGAATGAAAGATATATTGGTATCCACGTAATGCGTAAGCACGAGCCGTGTAAATAAAATTATAGAAGTAGAAATTCCTCTCCACTGTAATTCGCATGACAAAAACATAAATTCTTGAAATAAGCTGAATAGCTGTAAAATTTGTCAAGTGAGCTGTGGAAAAATCCGTTGGCTATTTTGAGTTGAAACCAAAAAGAATTGCTTAGAAGGATAAGTGGAAAGAAGCAGTGATGGGATTTTTGGCTACAATCCCTTGTGTGTCAAAACAAGAACCGTGTGTGCATTACAGTGCATACTCTACCACTATACCATACAGTCGTCCATATTATGAAAATATCTAGTCTAAAGGTGTGCAGTACTTTGTCCATATTTAAAATATAAAGTATAATAAAGTGTGGGCTACAATTTCTCTGAAGAGTGCTGTGAATGCAAACAGTATACCTGAAACGCAAATTGCCAATTTGAACAAAATGAAACCAAGGAAGCGATAAAAATCAGTCGTGGATGGGCCCACATCA